AACTCCAAATATACAGCAGCAGGCGTGGTGGTCGGGATGGAACCCACGACCTCCTGTACACCAGGCGAGGTAGTTAACATCTCACCATCCTACAAATTGGCAGTCAGGGTCGGTATCGCACCCAGGGCCTCCTCCATACGAGGCGAGGCCGTTAACGTCTCCTCGCCACCGTAGCGCCCCCCAGTGGCAGCTGTCCCTGTGCGGCACACGGTGGCTGAGCACAGCCGGCCTGCCAGCAGGCGGGTGACAGACGGCTGCCAGTAGAGGGGGCCGGTGCTTGCGGCCACGGCAGGCGGCAGCCCGGAGCATGTGCAGGCAGCGGCGAGGGTTGGTGGGTCACCGCGCAGATCGCCTGTGAGACTCCCTCCTGCCCGCGGGTGTCGGGGAGGAGCCAGAGGTCGCAAACGGGTTTTGATTCCTTACCCGTACCCGTACCCGGCCGCACCAGGGTCGCAAACGGGTACCAGTACCCGTACCCGGCTGGGTATGGGTACCCGTACGCTACCCGTACCCTACCCGAAATGAGTGACAAACGGTTACTCACCGGTGACTCACGGCCTACCCGTACCCGGCCGCACCAGGGTCGCAAACGGCTACCCGTACCCGGCTGGGTATCGGGTAGGGTACGCGTATCGGGTACCCGGTTGCGACCTCTGGGAGGAGCCCGTGGCCCCGGCTGTGGCAGGAGAAGGCGGTGCAGCACAAGTGTGGACTCGATGTGTTCCCTCTGTACGCGGATCGAGTGTTGCCCCCTCGCTCGCACGGCGTGTGCTCTCTGGGTGCGCTGGTTCCCCCCCCCCCCCCCCCGCGTGTAAAACGTAGAAAAAAAACTCCGTTGTCTGAAAACATCTTCACGTGTATATATATATATAGAACCGCAGAGCTTGGAGGGCAATCGTTGGGTAGCGACGGCTCCTCGTCACCGCGTGGCTGCTGCTGCCTTCCCACTCCTCGTCAGTGATTCTTCCTCCTTCCCCTGGCGCCTCTGAGTCGTCCTCTCTCTCTCTCTGAGTCGTCCTCTATCTCTCTGAGTCGTCCTCTATCTCTCTGAGTCGTCCTCCATCTCTCTGAGTCGTCCTCCCTCTCTCTGAGTCGCCCTCTCTGAGTCGTCCTCTCTCTCTCTGAGTCGTCCTCTCTCTCTCTGAGTCGGCCTCTCTCTGAGTCGTCCTCTCTCTGAGTCGCCCTCTCTCTCTGAGTCGCCCTCTCTGAGTCGTCCTCTCTCTCTGAGTCGTCCTCTCTCTCTCTGAGTCGCCCTCTCTCTCTCTCTCTGAGTCGCCCTCTCTGAGTCGTCCTCTCTCTCTGAGTCGTCCTCTCTCCTAGTCGTCCTCTCTCTCTGAATCGCCACCACTATAATGATGATGATGATCGTTGTAATATGATTATTCAGTAATGTGCAATCCCCTATTGAGTCATTGGCGAGTGCTGTGTCGTTTCGCGCAAATGCGCCGGGTTTCATGGCCATCCTACTCGACGTTGGGCGAACGTTGAGCCAACGTTGGCAAGCGGTTGGACCAACATTGGCAAGTGGTTGGACCAACGTTGGTTGAACGTTGAGCCAACGTTGGCAAATGATAGCTCGGTGAAGTTGGCTGATACCACCATCGTCGTCGTCGTCGTCATCGTCGTGTGTAAATGTCGAGCAGCAGACGCAGTCCGCTCTAAGACGCGGTGATGTCGATTCTAAATGCGGAGGACCCGGAGACAATCAAACATCCACGCGACCGCGGGGAGAGAGAGAGACACGCAAACTCCACATGCAGCAGCAGCAGGCGTCAGGGATAGAACCCACGACCTCCTGTAGACCAGGCGAGGGAGTTAACATCTCTACAGGGAGAGACACAAACTCCACATGCAGCAGCAGCAGGCGTCAGGGTCGGGATGGAACCCACGACCCCCTGTAGAGCAGGCGAGGTTGTTAACATCTCTACAGAGAGAGACACAAACTCCACATATACAGCAGCAGCAGGCGTCGTCAGGGATAGAACCCACGACCTCCTGTAGAGCAGGCGAGGTTGTTAACATCTCTACAGGGAGAGACACAAACTCCACATGCAGCAGCAGCAGGCGTCAGGGATAGAACCCACGACCTCCTGTAGACCAGGCGAGGTAGTTAACATCTCTACAGGGAGAGACACAAACTCCACATGCAGCAGCAGCAGGCGTCAGGGTCGGGATGGAACCCACGACCTCCTGTAGACCAGGCGAGGTTGTTAACATCTCTACAGAGAGAGACACAAACTCCACATACACAGCAGCAGGCGTCAGGGTCGGGATGGAACCCACGACCTCCTGTAGACCAGGCGAGGTTGTTAACATCTCCCCGCCACCGCGGCGCTCGAGGTCCATTTGGCAGCTGCGGCAGCGGCGCGGTTCGAACCGCAACTGCAGCAGCACTCAGCCGCGACTCGTCACGTGACGACTCGGCAGGTCACGGCCCCGCCCCTCCCCCAGTCCAAGCCCCGCCCATCTACATACAAGCCCCGCCCCTCGCCGTCAAGCCAATCAAGTCCCGCCCTCTCACAATCAAGCCCCGCCCCTCGCCATCAAGCCAATCAAGCCCGCCTTCTCACAATCAAGCCCCGCCCCTCAATATTAAGCCCCGCCTCCTGACAATCAAGCCCCGCCCCTCAATATGAAGCTCTCGCTATCAGGACCCGCCCCTCACCATTAAACCCCGTCTCTCGTATGTCAAGCCCCCCCCCACCCTCCCCCCCACCTCACTCCCCCCCACCCTCCCCCCCACCTCACTCCCCCCCCACCCTCCTCCCCCCACCTCACTCCCCTCTCCCCCATTCCTTTATCCCCCATCCTCAGCCCCCCCCCCCCGTGCCCCCCCCGTGTCCCCGGCCGCACGATTTCGCCTCTCACACTCACGGGGCGATGGCTCTGCACCGGCTGCTGTTCGCGGGCCGCAGATCGCGTCTCTTCGGCAGCAAGGACAGCTGGTGGGGCCGGTCTGTCTACACCACGTGTCTCTCTACACCACCACGTGTCTCTCTGTCTAGAGCACGTGTCTCTCTGTCTAGAGCACGTGTCTCTCTGTCTAGAGCACGTGTCTCTCTGTCTAGAGCACGTGTCTCTCTGTCTAGAGCACGTGTCTCTCTGTCTAGAGCACGTGTCTCTCTGTCTAGAGCACGTGTCTATGTCTACACCACCACGTGTCTCTCTGTCTACACCACGTGTCTCTCTACACCACCACGTGTCTCTGTCTAGAGCACGTGTCTCTCTGTCTACACCACGTGTCTCTCTACACCACCACGTGTCTCTGTCTAGAGCACGTGTCTCTCTGTCTAGAGCACGTGTCTCTCTGTCTAGAGCACGTGTCTCTGTCTAGAGCACGTGTCTCTCTGTCTAGAGCACGTGTCTATGTCTACACCACCACGTGTCTCTCTGTCTACACCACGTGTCTCTCTACACCACCACGTGTCTCTCTGTCTAGAGCACGTGTCTCTCTGTCTAGAGCACGTGTCTCTCTGTCTAGAGCACGTGTCTCTCTGTCTAGAGCACGTGTCTCTCTGTCTACACCACGTGTCTCTCTGTCTACACCACGTGTCTCTGTCTACACCACCACGTGTCTCTCTCTCTGTCTATACCACGTGTCTCTGTCTAGAGCACGTGTCTCTGTCTACACCACCACGTCTCTCTACACCACGTGTCTCTGTCTAGAGCACGTGTCTCTGTCTAGAGCACGTGTCTCTGTCTACAGCACGTGTCTCTCTGTCTAGACCACCACGTGTCTCTCTGTCTAGAGCACCACGTGTCTCTCTACACCACGTGTCTCTGTCTAGAGCACGTGTCTCTCTACACCACCACCAGTGTGTCTGCGCGTGTCGTCTAAGCCATATGTCTCTATGCGGCGTGTCATACCATATGTCTGCACCACGTGCCTGCCGATATCACCTTCATGTTGTATGAAGGAAGGGTCGTTGTCCGAAACGTCGCCTATTATATACACGCTCCTATTTTACCTTCAAGACCACGGTGTCGTAATTGAGACGGATCGTGATCGGTGTTGTTGACTGTGTTTCTGCACCAGTGGCCAATGCAGCAGCAGCAGCACCAGATACATCACCCACTCTCTCTCTCTCTTAGCATGCGTCTCTCTCTCTCTGGGGATATGCGTCTATGGCACTCCATCTACGTCTGTGGCGTGTGTGACTGTAGTGTGTGTGGGGTGTGTGTCTGTAGTGTGTGTCGTGTGTAGTGTGTGTCGTGTGTGTGTGTCTGTGGTGTGTGTGTGTGTCTGTGGTGTGTGTCTGTGTGTCTGTGGCGTGTGTGTGTGTAGTGTCTGTAGTGTGTGTGTCTGTGTGTCTGTAGTGTGTGTGTCTGTGGTGTGTGTCTGTGGTGTGTGTCTAGTGTGTGTCTGTAGGGTGTGTGTCTAGTGTGTGTCTGTAGTGTGTGTGTCTGTAGTGTGTCTAGTGTGTGTAGTGTGTGTCTGTAGTGTGTCTTTAGTGTGTGTCTGTGGTGTGTGTGTAGTGTGTCTGTGGTGTGTGTGTCTATCTGTAGTGTATGTGTAGTGTGGTGTGTGTGTGTGGTGTGTGTGTGTAGTGTCTGTAGTGTGTGTCTGTAGTGTGGAGTGTGGGTGGTGAGTGTGGTGGGGTTGGTGAGTGTGGTGTGGGTGGGGAGTGTGGTGGTGAGTGTGGTGTGGGTGGTGAGTGTGGTGTGGGTGGTGAGTGTGGGTGGGTTGGGTGGTGAGTGTGGTGTGGGTGGTGTGGGTGGTGTGGGTGGTGAGTGTGGTGTGGGTGGTGAGTGTGGTGTGGGTGGTGAGTGTGGTGTGGGTGGTGAGTGTGGTGTGGGTGGTGAGTGTGGGTGGGTTGGGTGGTGAGTGTGGTGTGGGTGGTGAGTGTGGGTGGGTTGGGTGGTGAGTGTGGTGTGGGTGGTGTGGGTGGTGTGGGTGGTGTGGGTGGTGAGTGTGGTGTGGGTGGTGAGTGTGGTGTGGGTGGTGAGTGTGGGTGGTGTGGGTGGTGAGTGTGGTGTGGGTGGTGAGTGTGGGTGGTGAGTGTGGTGTGGGTGGGGAGTGTGGGTGGGGAGTGTGGGTGGGGAGTGTGGGTGGGGAGTGTGGGTGGGGAGTGTGGTGAGTGTGGTGGGGTTGGTGAGCGAGTGTTGGGCGAGCATCGGGTGAGTGGCAAGAGTCGGACCACGTGACGTCACCACCCCCCCACGATCACCCCTCCCCTCTCCCCCACGATCACCCCCCCCCCCCCCCCCCGTTCATTAATGAGCTCTCGGGCAGCTGAGAGATGGGACACGTGGGTGCGATGGCACACGGTGATGGTGATGACGCTCCGGTGATGGTGGTGGTGATGGTACCAGGGTGATGATGGTGGTGATGGTGGTGATGGTGGTGGTGATGGTACCAGGGTGATGATGGTGGTGATGGTGGTGATGGTGGTGGTGATGGCATCACGGTGATGGTGATGACGCCCCGGTGATGGCGAGACGGTGATGGTACCACGGTGATGGTGGTGATGGTACCACGGTGATTGTGGTGGTGGTGATGGTGGTGGTGATGGTGGTGGTGATGGTGGTGATGGTACCGTGGTGATGGTACCACGGTGATGGTGGTGATGGTGGTGATGGTACCACGGTGATGGTGGTGATGGTGGTGATGGTACCACGGTGATGGTGGTGATGGTGGTGATGGTACCACGGTGATGGTGGTGATGGTGGTGATGGTACCACGGTGATGGTGGTGATGACCCCACGGTGATGGTATCACGGTGATGGTGGTGATGGTGGTGATGGCACCACGGTGGTGATGACGCCACGGTGATGGTGGTGATGACCCCATGGTGATGGTGGTGATGGTGGTGATGGTGGTGATGACCCGATGGTGATGGTGGTGATGGTGATGGTGGTGATGGTGATGATGGTGATGGTGGTGATGGTGATGATGGTGATGGTGGTGATGGTGATGATGGTGATGGTGGTGATGACCCGATGGTGATGGTGGTGATGGTGATGGTGGTGATGGTGGTGATGGTGGTGATGGTGATGATGGTGGTGATGGTGATGATGGTGGTGATGGTGGTGATGGTGATGTTGGTGATTGTGATGGTGATGATGGTGATGGTGTTGGTGATGGTGATGGTGGTGATGGTGATGGTGGTGATGGTGTTGGTGGTGATGATGGTGATGGTGGTGATGGTGATGGTGGTGATGGTGGTGGTGATGATGGTGATGGTGATGATGGTGATGGTGGTGATGGTGATGGTGGTGGTGATGGTGATGGTGGTGATGGTGATGATGGTGATGATGTTGATGGTGGTGATGGTGGTGATGGTGGTGGTGATGATGGTGATGGTGGTGATGATGGTGATGGTGGTGATGGTGGTGATGATGGTGATGGTGGTGGTGGTGATGGTGGTGGTGATGATGGTGATGGTGGTGATGGTGGTGATGGTGGTGATGGTGATGGTGATGATGGTGATGGTGGTGATGGTGATGGTGGTGATGGTGATGATGACCCCACGGTGATGACGTGGCGCCTTTGAACCCCGCTCGGGGCCACGCCTGGCTGGGTTCGACTCCCCCGTGCACCGCGGTTCGCGTCAGTGGCGGGCGACGTCTCAACCGGTCCTGGGGGGGGGGGGGGGGGGAGGGAGCCCCCCCACCCCCCCAGCCCCCCCCCCACCACAGCCTGCAGTCACCGGCGTGGTGAAGTATGGTCAAACGGCCCCCTTAGAACCGACAGAGCTTGGTGGGGAGGAGGAGGAGGGGGTGATACCATCATCAAGCAGTGCATTGACCATGGCTGCTGCCGCTGCTGATAATAAGCAATAGGCGACGTTTCGGGCAAAGGTCCTTGCCCGTGCCCGTCTCGTTGGGGAGCTCTGAACCGTCGAACAAAGGCGGCGCCGCGGGGACGTCTGGAACGCTCCTTCCCTTGATTCGACGATTCGGAAGGTCACGCGGCAGATACGAAATGGGACAACATTTCTGTTTGCTGCTGCTGCTCCTGTTGTTGTTGTCGGTATCAAAGTTCAAAAACAATGCTGGAGCCCTTGGCAAAACAAGGTATCGATTTGTTGTCTGGACACGTTGAACACAACTCCCACAAACCTCTCCTGTGGATAATGTTGGATCGCGAAAGCCGCCTCCACTGCGTGTTGAACTGAGCGTGTTTGTCTTTGTGTAACGGGTTCCGGAGACACTTGTAGATGTAACTTCTTTATTACAATACAACACTCCAACAGTCCTGATACTCTGTTACAGCCTAGGTACACAGCCTAGCTACACAGCCTAGATACTCTACTCTGGCTACGCTCTGGACTCGCCCTCACAAGGTCGTAGCGTCGGGAGTTCCAGAGTCCCAGCGCTGGCTCTCACAGCATCCCAGGGTCTTCAGATGGCTGGTCGTGGGTCTTGGGTCTTGAGTTACAACTGGGCCCGATCGTCCAGGGAGCTCCGCTTATATGCCCAGTCCCCAACGAGGGGTGGGGCCGTGTGCGCCACCAGACATCCCACAGAGCACACACAGCCCCCCCCGTTGGCGGCGCCCAGAGGCTTAAGCGTCTGGACCTCCTGGGAACCCAGCGCCTGGCGCCTAGGGGATTACGCGTCTGGACCCACCTGGGAACCCAGAGCCTACAGCAGCCCCTCCCTTCTTATGTCACTACATTACCCTCCTCTATGTAGCCTCCAGCCGTCCCGGCTGTCAATAATTAGAAAGTTTAAATTAACGAAAGGGAGAGAGAGAAGAAAAAAAAATACGCGAGCTTCAACAGGAAAAGAAAAGAGAACAAGAAAGCAACCATAAATACCCTAACCAACCTGTACAACTCTACACTATATACAAGCATCAATCAACAAAAAAGTGAAGCAATGACACGTGAACAAACGACCCGCGGCACACCTAGCCCTCCTCGGGATCCGCATAGAAAACGGGGAATTAACAACAACAAATATACAGATTCCGACGCGTTGGATGCACAACCAACACCGG